GTCGGAGCAGCATTTTCTTTTTCAGACACAAAACCTGAGGATTTCCAGGGTCTTTTGGTTGTTTTACTTTTCATTATGAAAATTTTCAGCATACAAGAGAAATGAGGAGAGAGTTTTAAAGTAAATTACAGACTTCATGACAATTTACTGTCAAATACTTCCATTTGCATCTCTAAAAAAATAAGGACACTCACTCAGTTAACCAAAATACTGTTATCACACCTAACAAAATGAACGCTGATTCCTTATCATCTAATACTAGGGCGTATTCAGATTTCCCAGGGCTCTCCAAGACGCCTTCTGCACTCAGTTCCCTAGGTCCAGGGCCCAATCAGAGTTGACACACAGGGCAGCATGTTTTGAAAACCATCCTGAATATCTTAATTCAGACCATATGTTTACCCACGTGGAACACGGAGAGAACCAGACACCTCCCATCTGCGTTTCGGGAACCTCAGGCCTTTTTCAAAACTGCTTGGCACTGGGTGGCATGCAAGTCCAGGAATGGACAGCCGCAGAGCCTGGTCTGTGCTGATGGGGCTCCACAGGCATCCCAGAAGCCATGGCGGCCACGAGAAGAGGCAACGCGCAAGCCACACCACAGAGAAGGGAGGTGAGCCATAAGAAAAGTATTTTCTTTTCCCAAACACTGCCAAGCGTGCCTGGGAAATCCTGCCACTCCTCCTGATGGCGCAACCCCAGGCAGGTCCAGGGAGGCGATTCTGAGTGTGAGGTCAACCCTTAAAAAGTCACCCAGTTGGGAGAGAGAGCACTTTCTCCGGTACTCAGCTCTTACGCAGCCAGCCTGGAGACCTGAGGCTGACCAGAGAAGCTACAAACAGGCACAGTCCCCAAAATGTTTGGGGGTAGAACTGGGGGTCCTTGTACATTACTTATGAAATAGTAACGTTTTCTGGGGGAAGGGAATTAGGTCTAACGGAGAGCAGGCCAGGGAGTGTCTCAGGCTTGAGGGTACCTCTGCTTCCTCAGAGAAACATTTGACTAGTAAGCACCGCTTTTCCGCATCAAACTCCATCCCAAATGCTAAATCCTGTTTACTTTGAAAGAGTGGGGGTGGGGTGGGGTGACAATTTAAAACATTCCAAAGCCTCTGCAAACAGCCAAATGAATTCACCTCTCACTGACACTCTCAAAAGTGAAGTTGTTTTAATAAAAGAAAATGTCTTTGGGAAGGGTAGAATATAAAATGAAAAATGGGTATTTTCAAGGATCTTATGTGAAACGCGTAACAGAAAAATCTCCCAGCTCTGATTTTTCTAGACACTTTTTTTTTTCCCCAGGGTTTCCAATGTTTACACTATTTTTTTAATATAATTTATTTATTTTAATATATTTGATTTCAGAGAGAGGAAAGGAGAGGGAGAGAGAGATAGAAACATCAATGATGAGAGAGTCATTGATTGAGCCCACAACCGGGGCATGTGCTCTGACCGGGAATCGAACCCCGATCGCCTGGATTCAAGGTAGACGCTCAACTGCTGAGCCTCGCCTGGCCGGGCGCTCTAGACACTCTTAAAAAAAAAAAAAAAA